GTAGAATGTGACATTTACGGTTGACCCCTTTCAAAGAAACCATCAGCATGTACACACAACAATGCTGCAATGCTTTAGACACCATTGATCTAGAGACTTCATGATTTACATGTATAAAACTTTTAAATATAAAAAAAAAATAATTTCCCTACCTACCTACCCACCTGCTGATGGGTTGGCAATGCCAAACAAACAATTTTTTAAGGGTGGCCCTACCCAAATTTAACTTGATCAGTGGAAGTCAAAATTAAACATTGCAATGTATAAAGCATTGATTGTAGTTGATTGAACTATAATCATAGACAACGGAAGATAACTCCAATTTTAAAAAATAAAATGCTCCGCTGGGCGCAGCTTGATACAACCACAGAGGTCGAACCCTGAACAGTTGGGGCAAGTATGGACACAACATTCAAGCTTGATACAGCACTGAATTTGGATTGTGATTAAATATTTGACACAGAATAGGTTTCTGACACAGAATGAATGTGGTCTAAGAACTTAAAAATTTTGAATTTACCTATTCAAACCATATCATTATTATTTGCTTTTATATATAAATCAGAAATAACCAATTTAAAATGGAAAATTTTAAAGAAAAAAAAAAAAGGAAAAAAAATCCCCCCCCTGAAATTTTTTGAACCCCCTTATGATTCATCACACCCAAACTCAATCCCAGCCTTCCCTTTGTGGTATGGTACCTTGCAGTACAATTTCAGAGAGATCCATACACGTGAACACAAGTTATTGTCTGGAAACTAGAAAAATGCTTGTTTTTTGGCCCCAAATTCCTAAACGTTTAAAGCAATTACCCCCAAACTCAAACCCAGCTTTCCCTTTGTGATATGGAAACTTGTAGTAAAATTTCATAAAGATCCATACACTTACACACAAGTTATTGTCCTGAAACTAGAAAAATGCTTGTTTTTTGCCACTTTTTGGCCGATAATTCCTAAAATTTTGAGGCAATTACCCCCAAAATCAATCCCAGCCTTCCCTTTGTGGTATGGTACCTTGCAGTACAATTTCAGAGAGATCCATACACTTGAACACAAGTTATTGTCTGGAAACTAGAACAAGAGGCTCTCAAGAGCCTGTGTCGCTCACCTGACTCTACTGGGTTTTTAGAAATCATGTAAAGATAGATAAAAATCATAACAGATACCCAAATAATGATTGAGGCCAAATTTGGTTTAATATTTGTCCCGTTATTTAATAAAATATCCTGGTGGCCATCTTGAACAGTAAATCGGCAAGAAAGAAGCAACACTTGGTCAGCACCTCATAAGGAACATTCATGCCATGTTTGGTTTCAATCCATTCAGTGGTTCTCTAACAGAAGACATTTGTATGTATTTCCCAAAGGGTCCTATCTTAAACTAAGTCCCCCCCCCCTGGCGGCCATCTTGGATGATGGATCGGCTGCAAAGTAACAACACTTGGTCAGCACCTCATAAGGAACATTCATGCCATGTTTAGTTTCATTCCATTCAGTGGTTCTCTAATAGAAGACATTTGTATGTATTTCCCATAGGGTCCTATATTAAACTAAGTCCCCCGCTGGCGGCCATCTTGGATGATAGATCCCTGCATAGAAACAACACTTGGTCAACACCTCATAAGAAACATTTATGCCATGATTGGTTCAATTCCATTCAGTGATTCTCTAAAAGAAGACATTTGTATGTATTTCCCATAGGGTCCTATGCTAAACTAAGTCCCCCCGCTGGCAGCCATCTTGGATGATGGATTGACTGCAAAGTACCAATACTTGGTCAACACCTCATAAGGAACATTCATGCCATGTTTGGTTCCATTCCATTCAGCGGTTCTCTAAAAGAAGACATTTGTATGTATTTCCCATAGGATCCTATGTTTAACTAAGTCCCCCGCTGGCAGCCATCTTGGATGATGGACCAACTGCAAAGTAACAACATTTGGTCAGGACTTCATAAGAAACATTCATGTCATGTTTGGTTTCATTCCATTCAGTGGTTCTCTAAAATAAGACATTTGTCTGTATTTCCCATAGGGTCCTATGTTAAACTAAGTCACCCACTGGCGACCATCTTGGATGATGGATCGACTGCAAAGTAACAACACTTGGTCAGCACCTCATAAGGAACATTTATGCCGTGTTTGGTTTCATTCCATTCAGTGGTTCTCTAAAAGAAGACATTTGTATGTATTTCCCATAGGGTCCTATATTAAACTAAGTCCCCCGCTGGCGGCCATCTTGGATGATGGACCGACTGCAAAGTAACAACACTTGGTCAACACTTCATTAGGAACATTCATGCCATGTTTGGTTTCATTCCATTTAGTGGTTCTCTTAAAGAAGACATTTGTATGTATTTCCCATAGGGTCCTATGTTAAACTAAATCCCCCACTGGCTGCCATTTTGGATGATGGATAGCCTGCAAAGTACCAACACTTGGTCAACACCTCATAAGGAACATTTATGCCATGATTAGTTCAATTCCATTCAGTGGTTCTCTAAAAGAAGACATTTGTATGTATTTCCCATAGGGTCCTATGTTAAACTAAGTCCCCCCTGGCGGCCATCTTGGATGATGGACGGACTGCAAAGTAACAACACTTGGTCAGCACTTCATTAGGAACATTCATGCCATGAATGGTTCAATTCCATTCAGTGGTTCTCTAAAAGAAGATATTTGGTCAGCACCTCATAAGGAACATTCATGCTATGTTTGGTTTCGTTCCATTCAGTGGTTCGCTAGAAGAAGTTCAAAATGTAAAAAGTTAACGACAACGAAGAACGAAGATGGACGCTGACGTAAGATGGATGCCAAGTGATGAGAAAAGCTCACTTGGCCCTTTGGGCCAGGTGAGCTAAAAATGCTTATTTTTGGCCCTTTTTCCTAAACGTTTTGGGCAATTACCCACAAACTCAATTCCAGCTTTCCCTTAGTGATATGGAACCTTGTGGTACAATGTCAAAGATATCCAAACACTAACACACAAGTTATGTCTGGAAGTTACAAAAATGCTTATTTTTGGCCCCTAATTCCTAACTGTTGGTACCATAACCCCCAAACCTTCCTTTTGTGGTATTGAACCTTATGGTAAAATTTCATAGACATCCATTCACTTAAACTAAAGTTAGAGTGCCAAAACCATTGTGTGTCTTCGGACGACGACCACGCCAACATCATACCAATAAACGACCGAAATTTTTTTTTGCAAAGTAACAACACTTGGTCAGCACCTCATAAGGAACATTCATGCCATGATTGGTTCCATTCCATTCAGTGGTTCTCTAAAAGAAGATATTTGTATGTATTTCCCATAGGGTCCTATGTTAAACTAATTCCCCTGCTAGCAGCCATCTTGGATAGTGTATCAGCTACAAAGTAACAACACTTGGTCAGCACCTCATAAGGAACATTCATGCCATGTTTGGTTTCATTCCATTCAGTGATTCTCTAATAGAAGACATTTGTATGTATTTCCCATAGGGTCCTATGTTAAACTAAGTCACCCACTGGCGGCCATCTTGGATGATGGATCGGCTGCAAAGAAACAACACTTGGTCAGCAGCTCATAAGAAACATTCATGCCATGTTTGGTTTCATTCCATTCAGTGGTTCTCTAGAAGAAGTTCAAAATGTAAAAAGTTAACAACGACGACGGACGACGACGGAAGCTGACGGAAGACAGACGGATGCCAAGTGATGAGAAAAGCTCACTTGGCCCTTTGGTCCAGGTGAGCTAAAAATGCTTATTTTTGGCCCCTTTTTCCTAAACGTTTTGGGCAATTACCCTCAAACTCAATTCCAGCTTTCCCTTAGTGATATGGAACCTTGTGATACAATGTCAGAGATATCCATACACTAATACACTAGTTATGTCTGGAAGTTACAAAAATGCTTATTTTTGGCCCCTAATTCCTTAACTGTTGGTACCATAACCCCCAAAATCCATCCCAACCTTCCGTTTGTGGTATTAAACCTTATGGTAAAATTTCATAGAGATCCATTCACTTAAACTAAATTTAGAGTGCCAAAACCAATGTGTCTTCGGACGACGACGACGCCAACGTCATACCAATAAACAGTCGTATAATTACTTGATATTTAGAAGAAAATAAAAATTTTGCAATTTTTACATTTATAGAGGGACATAACTCTAGAACAGTTAAAGTGACGCCACAAAAATTCAAACTTGATCTGTGTTTTGTGGTAATAAGCATTGTGTATAAGTTTCATAACATTTGGTTGAGGCAAACTTAAGTTAGAGAACGGAAACAAAAAATTCTGCAATTTTTTCATTTATAAAGGGGCACAACTCTAGAACGATTAAAGTGACCCCACCAAAATTCATACTTGATCTGTGTTTTGTGGTAATAAGCATTGTGTATAAGTTTCATAACATTTGGTTGAGGCAAACTTAAGTGAGAGAACGAAAACTAAAAATTTTGCAATTTTTTTCATTTATAAAGGGGCACAACTCTAGAACGGTTAAAGTGACCCCACCAAAATTCAAACTTGATCTGTGTTTTGTGGTAATAAGCATTGTGTATAAGGTTCAAAACATTTGGTTGAGGCAAACTTAAGTTAGAGAACGGAACTAAAAATTTTGCAATTTTTCCATTTATAAAGGGGCATAACTCTAGAACAGTTAAAGTGACGCCACCAAAATTCAAATTTGATCTGTGTTTTGTGGTAATAGGCATTGTGTATAAGTTTCATAACATTTGGTTGAGGAAAACTCAAGTTAGAGAACGGAAACCAATTTTTGGACGTACATACAGATGGACAGATTGACGGACAGACAGAAAGAGGTAAAACAGTATACCCCCACTTTTTTAAAGTTTGGGTATAATAAAGCGGACGTATTATAATTAAAGATCAACAAGGATGTATTTCACATTAGGGTCCTACTTGAAATTGTGAACATTGCCATATTCATAACCTACTTGAAATTCAATTTGCAAGAACTTTCATATACATGTACATGCAACAAATGCTATACTAACCTTGTGGTCCTGGACCACCCATTCTGTTTCCAGGGCTCATCATTCCCTGTGGTCCCATTGGACCTCCCATTCTATTTCCCATGAATCCAGGTCTGTCACCCATCATGCCTTTAGGTCCCATTATTCCAGGACCAGGCCCCCTAATGCCACCAGGTTGATTCCCCAACATTCCTGGCCTGTTTTGTCCCATCATATTTTGTTGATTTCCAATCATTCCTGGACCAGGTTTGTCAATGATTCCTTGATTTCCGATAAGTCCAGGCCTATTACCCATCATGCCTGGTGGTTGATTTCCAATAAGACCTGGTCTGTTCTGTCCCATCATGTTTTGCTGATTGCCCATTAACCCTTGAGGACCCATCATTCGAGGCTGATTACCCATCATTCCCTGTTGATTTCCCATCATCCCTTTTTTGCCCATCATGCCTTGCTGATTTCCCAGCATTCCTTTCCTATTTCCCATCATTCCATCTTGTAGTTCCATGATTTCATGATCCCTCATGTCCTCTCCCCTATCCATTCTCTCTTGCAGCTCAATCAAGTTTTCCTCTGCCATTCTTTCATCAAAATCATCCATGTTTTGAGAATCATTTCTGGATCTGTCATGGTGGGAATCTCTTTCATCTCTGTCACCATCTTGATCATCTCTGTCCCTACCAGGAAATCCTCTCTTATCTCTCTGAAAGTCTGAAAATAAGACTGCAAGTAATACTACAAACCTAAACAATAGTGCACAAGCTTAAATATCATAACTTCTTTTCTGACCATGCTTGTTTGAATGTTGAAAGTCTTAAAGATAAAAGCATATAACTACAAGTACATGTATCATATAAAATTAACTTCATTAATGGTCTATGAGAGTGAGGTCAAGGTCAAATAAAACATGCATGACAAACATGTACAATCATGCAGTACACCAAATATAGTTGACCTATGGCTATAATATCTAATAAGAAACGGTAAGTGACTCGATGCCCAAATTCGAACTCTGTCTGCAAGTTTTTTTCTTAGCATTGCGTATGAGTTCCATAATCAAAGTGATCTAAAATCACTAATGGAAAGATTGGAAGGTTTGTGTGTATAATTTCAATCATATTTTACAGCTTAATAGAGTTTTGTCAGTGGGTCACTAAATTTGCGTAGTAACTTCTTTTAGATTGCAAATTAATGTTTATATTTTTTTGAAACAGAAGAAATTACTTAATAAACAAAATTATCATTGTAGTTTTTCAGTAAACCTGGTATCAATGGTTAAAGAGACTTGTGGGCATGTCTGTTACTCTGTGTTCAAACATTGCTAAATATAGCTTATTGATTGTGATTAAAACAATAATCATGATAATATATGACATAGTAGATGCATGGTTGACAAAGGGTAATTTTCACATCAATGAACTTGATATGATGTTTTTATTCTATTGTCCAAAGATGGACACTTTTAATTTTTTAGGCAAATTCTTATTTATTCCGTTGAAAAAATATTACCTCACAGTATTCAAATATACTAATACCTTCTCTGATAAATGAAACCTATCAAAATTATGGAATTACAGATAATTGTTGCACAGATTTTGCAAGAAAAACAGACACCACTTGGATTCTTTTCTCATACAGATTTTCATTTTGGTCTTTTCTCAAAAAATACATTATGTATTAATCCTTACTTAATCAGCTTTCAAACAATATTTACAGATCATTTGTTTAATGCAGTGTAAATCAAAAGATATATATCGGTAAAGGAAAAAATCTATCATCTGTATACAATTTTATTAAAGAAATACCCATTTAGTATTTGTTAGTTTCAATTAAACATGAAGATAGAGACTTACCTATATAGATCAAATTATATCAGATACTAACGAGGTCAAAGTTTGTGTACTGAGTGGTCTGCCATGATATGTATAAACTCAAGTTATGTCATTTGGTGAATTATGATTGGCATTAAGGAGGAGGAGTCTATATAGAATTCCAATTATTGTCCCACCCTTTGTGTTTAATTGTATCATCATCATGACAGTTGTCAATCATACTGTTAATGTATCATTACACTTAAGTAAAAAGACAAAACTAAGCCAGTAATTGAAAAAAGTAGTTTTTGAAAAAATACTCTAAGTTTAATAAGATGTAACCAAATTTCTTTCCAGGTCACTTGTGCATATGTACACAAACATGAAAACAATTGGAAATATATGTCAGTGTGTATAGATTTAGTAGCTAATCTGTCCACTTTCTGTTTGGAGGCAGGTGCCTCAGGAATGAACTGGAACAAGTTCCAATCTTTCCAAAAACTGGGAGAGGAAAACTTAAGTAAGAGTGCGGAAACAACAAGTAAAACTGTGAGCTACTGCTCACTGATGATACCCCCGCCAAAATATTTCGGTTAACAGGAAGTTGTTGAGTGATGAATCTGAAAATGCATCACACGGTATAGCTGACTTATATAAACCCTGAAATCAAATTTCAGAAATCCTTGTCAAGTAGTTCTTGAGAAAAATGTGACGAAAATTTTCAACTTGGCTATCATGCGTAAAATAATACAAGTGTTCGGTAAACAGGAAGTTGTTGAGTGATGAATCTGAAAACGCATCATACGGTGTGACTTACTTATATAAACCCTGAAACCAAATTTCAGAAATCCTTGTCAGGTAGTTCCTGAGAAAAATGTGACGAAAATTTTCAACTTGGCTATCATGTGTAAAATAATACAAGTGTTCGGTAAACAGGAAGTTGTTGAGTGATGAATCTGAAAACGCATCACATGGTGTAACTTACTTATATAAAGCCTGAAACCAATTTCAGAAATCCTTGTCAAGTAGTTCCTGAGAAAAATGCGACGAAAATATTCATTGGACGGACAGATGGACTTGACGGACTGACTGATGGACAGACAGAGGTAAAACAGTATACCCCCCCCCCCCCCTTTTTTAAAGCAGGATTAATGTGGGACAGACAGACAGAAAGATGGACAGTGAAAGGTAACATTTAATGACTATGGCAGGGCTTAAGAATACCAAGGTCATATATATGTGTCTATCCCTGTAAGGGGTAGGTTTGTTTTGAAAGTGAAATATTGATTTTTGTTGTAGTTTTGTAATGAAAAGTTAACATGCACACCAACAAAGGAGTAGGTTCAATAACAGTCTAAAACGGCCCCTATTTCTAGCTACAATTTCAAATTAGGATTTATTGACCAATATTACAATGAATCATAGCTAATACAATGAATGATTAGATAGAAAATATGCCTTTTTGTTGAAAATTTATGTACTTGCGTTCTATTCGTGATGTCACAAATAGCTCTCATTTTGATTTTCAACGAAAATTCAATGAAAACAGGTAAATTTCCAATAATCTTTTGGACAGGAAACATACAGCGCAAAAAAGCTTTTTACCAAAATGTTTGTTATCACATTTTACATATCTGACTTGAATATTTAGTTTGTCGACGCCTGCGCTCTATGTTTCCATGGACTTAATTTGGTTGAAATCTGTACGATTTGGTCAAATTTCGAAAAATCTCTATTTCTGACCTATTTGGGATGTAAAAATCAACTTTCTCGCATGTCTTTTTATCACTTTCAAACATTTATTATCTTGAAACATTAAACTTAATAATCGGGGCCAAATATGACCCTCACCGAACTTACTCCTTTAACCCTCGGAAAACATATAACTTGTTTGCTATGCCCGCCTCAGAAGTGATGCTTTGGATTTGGGGCCAAGTACAAAACTGATTTTGACCCTTGGACTCATGTCCTTCTAGATATCTTAGAACATTGGATTTTAAACAGTTATTATTTTCCTCTATGACTAATTCTCACCTTTATTTCTCCCTTGTCTAAGCTGTTTTCCGTGTCTGTCACCTTCTTCATCCTTTAAAGTCTCCAAGTTAAAATCCCCAGCTGGTTTAACCGAGGGCAATTCCAGGAGACTTGGCAAAGGATGCTTGGGTTTTTCTGAATGAAAAGAAAAAAAAATCAGTAAAAATGCTATTATACAAATTATATTTCCCAAATATTCCTATATACAAGATGTAATGTTAGCTACTACTAACTAATATATACCCTGCTCTTGCTTTTGATTGAAAGGAAATACTATACTGTAAATTCAGAAATTATTGCATCCATTTATTATTGGGATCTTTGAATAATGAACAAAAATGAGAGAGTATAATTGCGATTTAGGAAAAGCTACTTACAGATATATGCACCAGATATCAGAATACAAGTTCTTACTATTGCTATACTCAAGGATTCGCATTGATCCCATTAATAAAAACCTCGTAATAATTTCTGTGTGAATTTACAGTAACTTAATTTAATGGAAAAAAGACTGAAAGTATATAAGCACCAAGGTTACCTTACCCATTTTAAATTTATTATTGTAAATTCAGAAATTATTGCGTGCATTAATTATTGCGATTTTTGAAGAATAGACAAAAAAAGCGAGATTAATTATTGCGATTTCCGGAAAATCTACTAACAGATATATGTATCAGATATCAGAATGCGAGTTCTTATTATTGCAATACTCCCCCAGTCGCATTTTTCGCAAAAATAAAAACCTCGCAATAATTTCTGAATTTAAAGTATCAAATTTCAAGCAACTTTTCATTGTTGGTGAGAAAAATGCTAAATATCTGAGAAAAATGTGACAAAAAATTTGTATACAAATATCAGTGTGAATTACACACATGTATGAAGAAACCACAGTAATGGATTTGAAAATGGGCAACACATTATTTTTTAACAATACAAACCTTAGTACTACATACCTAGAAGCTTAATAGGTATGTGATTAATGGACACAGAGAAAGAGCAGAATACCAAATGCGATGGAAGGGGGAGCATAAAAATTACAATCTTGTTCCTTTATTCACCTAATTTAAAAATAGTTTTCCTCTGATATAAAAGTTGCATTTGGTACTCTTGGACTTATAAAAATAAAAGTGACAAATTGATACATTTAGACTGCCAATGGAAAAGAGTTGCATGCTGACTACGCAGTATTGGTTTTGCTCATTACTGAAGGCCATACTTTGACCTATAGTTAATAACATCTATGTCATTTGGTCTCTGGCAATCATAACACATCTTCTTATTTTTATATTATATGTTGGATCAGGCAGATGGTTTGTCAAGCAACAGCTTAATTACAGACAAATCAAAGAATGGTGGTATAAGTTCTAAATATATAAAAAGCATGTCACTGTTCCAACACAGGCCTCATATTGTCCATCCCTATTTCACTTAACATGTTGTTGCATATTTATACAATTATCAAAGCCAAGTAAACACCCCCTCAGCATTGGTCTTAGTCACTTAGGACAGTAAAACCTTGCAACTATATACCCTAAGAATCATTTAGCCCAAATGTCCATTAGATCAGGAGAGAGGATTTTTTAAATCATTAACAATGAAGGGTGATGATAATGGACTCCATGTGGCAAAAGCTAAACATGGTCCATAGCCAAGTAAGCTAATAAAACATTGAAAATAGTCCTTCCTTTAAAATTCTGACCATAGAACTGCCAAATTGAAACAAAATTTTCTTTTCTAATGTAATTGGTTTTGAAATAACCCAATTAATAAACTGCTTTGCTGAGCGCAGCTGGATACGCCTGCAGAGGTCCAACCATGAACAGTTGGGGCAAAAATGGACACAATATTCAAGCTTGATACAGGTCTGAATTTGAATTGTAATTAAATATTTGACATATTATAGGTTTCTGAATAAATACAGTCAAAGAACTTGAAATTGGTTATATGAATTGAATTTATATTCAATTAAAGATTTCTTGCTGTTGTGCAATACACTGTGCTATTGCGCAATACTTAGTAAATCTGTTGTCAGACTATAAACAAATAAGGTTCAATTTCTTCTCAATGTCATATTTGAAATTTATGAAAATCAATAGGGAGATTACATCAATAGCTATAAATAATTCACCAAAGTTTCATGAGAACTGCTGAAAACATTTTTGAGTTATTGTCCAAAAACTGGAAAATCCCCCTTTTTTAATGAATAAAACCCCATAACTCAGAAATGCAAAAACTAAAATTTATAGAATTCTAAAGGGATCTTACATCATCAGATATAAAAAAATTCACCAAAGTTTCATGAGAACTGCTGAAAGCATTTTTTAGTTATTGTCCGAAAACTGGAAACTCACCCTTTTTTTATGAATAAAACCCTGTAACTCGGAAACGTAAAATCTAAAATTTATAAAAATTGAAAGGGAGCTCATGTCAATAGATATAAACAATTCACCAAAATTTCTTGCAAGTTGGTGAAAGCATTCTCGAGTTATTGTCGGAAAACTGGAAAATCCCCCCTTTTTTTAATGAATAAAACCCCAAAACTCAGAAACAGTAAATCTGAAATTCATAAAAAACGAAGGGAGCTCACGTCAATAGATATAAGCAATTCACCAAAGTTTCATGCATATTGGTTAAAGCTTTTTTGAGTTAATGTCCGACATGTTGACGACGGACGGACAGATGAACGGACAGACGGTCAATGGTATACCATAATACGTCCCATAAACGGGCGTATAAAAATTTAGAATAAGGTCAAACAAAAGAATATGAATGGGTTTTCTTATTTAAACAAATAAGGAAGGTATAGGTAGGATATTTCTGTTGGTGCTATATTCTCTAAGGACTATTCCAATTAAATGGATGTGGAAGGTTAGGAAAGGACTTTCAAAATCCTCATACAACCAACACACTTTGGGGTTAGTTCACATATATCAAATGGACATAAATGACCAATGTCCAAAAAAAAACTTTTTCCTACCCTCCCCTGTCAATTTTAATGGAAAAAACCTAACTGTTTTCATCACCCTTACCATCTACTTTTTCCCCAGATATTGCTGGTGGCTGTTTATTACTTCTCCACGCATGGACGAATTCTCTGTCGATGGGTCGAGAGTACGGTATCTTGCGTCTCTGATTCTGCTCCCTGTGACTATCCTTTAAGAATTGAGCATCTGTTTCCCAGTCTAAACCTGGTATTGAAATGTCTTCTTCTGACCTGTCTGTAATAAAAAAGCAAATTAACAATTAACATTCAATCAGGACTTAAAAATAAGAAATTACTGTGAGGTAATTATTAATGCAATAATGCAACTAGGTGTGTATCACAACAATAAGAACTCGCATTTTGATATCTTATACATATATCTATATGCAAATTTTTCTAATATTGCAATAATTAATCTCATGCTTTTGTCCATTCTTCAAACATTGCAATAATAAATGCACGCAACATTTTTTAAAATTTACAGTAGACATATTCTTTATGTGCCGGACTCAAGTCAGCAGCCTGTAGTATATTTGTTGTCATTGGTTCACGTCTATCCTATTTGTTTTTCATCAATTGTATTGTATTAATTAGGCTGTAAGTTTTGTTGATTGAATTGTTTCACATTTTCACATGTCAGAGCCTTTTATAGCTAACTATACAGTATGAGTTTTTCTCATTTTAATGGTTTTACAATGACCTATAATTGCTTTTATCGAACTCTGGTGAATAGTTGTCTCATTTGGCAATCTTACAACATCTCCTTATTCTTATTTAACAGAAAATACCAGTATAAAACTTTGTTGGCAGGTTTAATGATTTTTGTTGTCATTACTTCTGAATACCTCCACTATTAATGAAGTTAAGAGGCAATTTTAAGCCTGCTCTATGCCACTGGCACTTAGCCATTGTGAAAGTAACCATTGTGAATAGTGTGTGGTGACCTATAGATATTCATATTTGGTAACCTTGTGTGTTTGCATTGCAGTCTTTATTTTCAAACTAATTGATTGAAATACTAATCGTCAAGTCACATGTTAAGGGTGACAAAAACTCAAAAATATATAATCTTGGTATACATATGCAGTTCTTGAATCTTGTACCATTTATAATTTGTACATATTTTTGTACAAATTCTCATTAATTTGACACCCACCATCATTAACCAGCTTGCGGTTTTACTCATAAATGTATGTACTTCAACATTACATTATTAAGCACTGTCGTTTTTTTGTATACACAGGCCAGTATTTGAGCTTACGACCTTATGCAAGTGCATATATACATGTACATGTATAACTCTTTGAGTGATTTAGGAATATTCAAATATGAAATAAAAGATGAATATTGGTCCGTTTTGAAAGGTTCTAATAACAACTCTATTTTCAAACAGTTACAGACTTTGCATAGCGATTTGTTCAACCTGAAAAAGTTAACAGATGTATTGAAAAGTAAACTAACAAAAATACAGAGCTCCAAGGAAAATTCAAATCGGAAAGTCCTTTATCAAATGACAAAATCAAAAGCTCAAACACATCAAACAAATGGAAAACATCAGTCATATTCCTGACTTGCATAAGGTCGATTTCTTTCCGACACAGCTCATTTTATACAACAAGACTAACCTTCCATGTTGTTGAAATCTTCTGTTGATCCCTCGTTCACACCAGGTATGGTAGACACAGATGTCACTATTGGGGTTGTGTTGTCTAAATCTACAAAATAATGTAAATAAACTCATCAGAAATCAGGCTAAAAAAATGTGCACATCAGACGTGCTTTTCGTCTACAAAAGACTCATCAGTGACACTTAAATCAGAAAAGTTGAAAGGTCAAATAAAGTACAAAGTTGACGAGCATTAAGGACATAAAATTCCAAAAGGTTTTGCAAAATACAACTGAAGTAATCTCTTCCTGATACCTTTCTTTTCTTATACATTGTAGTACATGTATGTGTGTTCTGCTCAAAACAATGAAAATTAAGAAGAGAATGTTCGTATTGAACTGTTAAGGAATAAGCTAAGAAAGTGTTTTTTTTTTTTCTCACTATTTTTTCTTTATTCAAGCCAAACATGAAATCCTTAGATTCTAAACAGGAAATTTTAAAAACATGTTTATGCTGTAACCCCTTGCTGGGACACTTTAAAATAATAAAAAAAATTTCAATTAAACATTAAAAAAAGTACTAATATAGTTCATTTATTTTGTTTCTAATTAGACTTCCTTTTGCAAAGGGAAATAACTCTTCAATTACAAAATGAATTATAAAGGACTACTTTAGTCAAAAATATGCTCTTTCCATAAAGGTTTGCATTGACAAGAAGCATCTGTCCTACCCTTGCCAAAAATTCTAGATTGAAAATGAATTCTTTAAGGGCTGTTCTAAAATTTATCTGGTAGAGGGATTGGAATGCGCTCAAATTAATTAAATATGGGTGGTTGCATTTTCCTTAGAAATTTGTACGAATTATAAGTAAAATGAACAATTCTTTTTAAGGATGGTAGGGGGTCCTAAAATGTGCCTCCCATGTCCCCAAGAAGATTAATTTTGGAACACCTCGAATTTGAAAATAGAAGATTTTTCAAGAACAGTAAAGTTTTCTTAAGTACAAACCAAACTCAGGCAACTCGTGTTCTGATCCACCCAATGTGTTCAAGTTATATTTGTCTCTCATTCTATCTCCTGGACGATTACGTGTCCAAAATTTTCTGAAAGATAAAAAATAACAGTAAATTATTCCAAAGGTTATGGGCTCCACTGATATCTGTAAAGTATATTATTTCAATTTCATGGATAAGAAAGGAGTAGGGGCATTAAGCCTAGCTTTGGCCCAAGAAAATAAAATGTTTGACAACTATTTCAAATTGGCACATACTATTTGGAAATGCATAGAATCAAGAAATGTAAATGAAAAACATGATATTTTTTCTCTGATGACGTCACAATTACGTCATAATATGTAGCGTTTTCATGAAAATAATAAAAATACAGTTTGTATGCAGTTTTCCATTGTTATTTCCATTGTGGAAACATCTTGCGTAGCCAAGAAACAACAAAATAATTTAAGAGAAGCTTTATCATAACTTTTGACATAATCTAACCAAACATAAAGTTGATTCTTGTTTGCACACATACTTTTCCAATCTAAAAATTTTACCTGAATTGTACTTAATGTATAATCATAAATTAAAACAAACAGGAAATATTAAACTCCTATTGAGATACAAATGAAAAGTCCAAAATTACTCGCAACATGTAAAAACATAATACTAACTAGAGGCTCCAAATAGATTTTGACATTCTGAATATATTTGCCAATGTCAGATTTTTCTTTATCTGTTATGGTTTTCATGGTAAATGACAAACACAACTATGTGCGATAAACATGTACATAGCAGCCATGTTGACGGATGAACAATAATATAAACAACAGACCATAATTTAAAATTGACTCCTCTAAATCAATCATGTTCAGTTTTATTTAAATTGAATCAGTAAGTTAGGAGGATATATTTATAACAGTTCATAGACGAAGGACTACTGGTGACAGACATCAATAGATAGCAAAAGCCTTCAGCCAATTTAGCTCAGAAATGTAAGAATATAACATGGGACCAGCTTATTTGTAAAAGACTATGGCAAAATGAAAAGACAATGAAAATACAAAAAATGGTCCAAAAAGACACCATAGTTATAATTGTTTAACAGTTACCAAACCAAAAATAAGGGGTTAACTCAGGGATAAACAGGGTAAGCTACTCCACTTAATGAACCAAAGATCTTCAAAAATTATTAAAATTGATATATTCATTAAAAATTTATGAGTTTTTTTACCCTGCCGATCAAGGGATTTTTTTTCAAGGCAAAAAACTACTAGCAACATTTTAGTCTCAGATACATAATTTGTTTATTAGTTGTCATTGGCTTTGAACTAGCTTTCAGTAACTGTGAGTACTCTCAGATCTGTACTTTGTGTCTTTTGTATTTTTGTTAGTTGTTTTTGTGCTTTGTATGGATCTGATAAGTTAAGCCCTGTTCAACTGATTTTTATAGCTTGGTTTTATGTTGTACTGTTACACCAATGTCCAAGGTGATGGTAGGGTTGGGCGCCAGCTAATATGTTTAACACGGCGCCACAGTCTGCATGTGCCTGTTCAAAGTCAGGAGCTTGTAATTCTGTGGTTGTCTTCTCCTGTTGTATATCATATTTGTTTTTCATTTCATAATTTGTACTTGAATCAGGCCATTAGTTAAGTTGTTTAAATTGTTTTATATTTGTCATTTCAGGGCCTTTTATACTGTAGCTTGCGATGCTGTATGAGTTTTTCTCATTGTTAAGGGCCGTACGGTGACCTATAGGCTATAGTTGCTAACTTCTTCATCATTCAGTCTCTGGGTAGAGTTGTCTCATTGGCAATCATACCACATCTTCTTATTTTTATATACACCTTACACACAATCTACAAATCTTTCATAACCACACAAGTTCTTCAAAGCTGTACATATCTATTACTGTAAATTCAGAAATTATTGCGTGCATTTATTATTGCGATTTTGTCATTTTAGACTAAAATGCGATTTTAATTTTTGCGATATTGAGAAAAATCCTGTTTAATTCATATAAAAAATTTCAAAATGCGAGTTTAAATTATTGCGATTATAACCCTGTCGCATTTTTAGCAATAATAAAAACATCGCAATAATTTCTGAATTTACAGTATCAGTTCATGAGTTTTCAGACTTACGTTGTATGATCATTAGACCCAGAAGCTAATATATGACCAAGTGGATGCCATGCCAAACTCCAGACCATGCCTTCATGAGCCATCTCCATTCCACCTAATTCTCTGTCTGTTCTGTAAGGAAAACATTAAAATATTCTTAAATATTCCATACTTTTTACAGATATAAATAAAATTACAAGAATATTAATAAGACAACAACTGAACAACACAATAAACTAAAATAGGCTATTAAGCAAGTCAACATATGGTCTACAACATTAAAGTCAATTTCCCAGCATTAACAGTGATTCTTTATGTGTCCACACCCTATGCCCTGCTTGCACTACTACATTTATATGTCCATTAAATCGTTAAAATGAGGTCAAAATTCTTATTTGAAAAATAATTCTAAAAGATCACATTATAATGAACATATTTACTAAATTCCAAGTTGATATGAGCACAACTACTTTAAACAAAAACTTAAAATTAAAAATGTACTGTAGAGGTATACCTTATAGAGGGAGGGTTGAGATCTCAAAAAACATGTTTAACCCCACCGCATTTTTGCGCCTGTCCCAAGTCAGGAGCCTCTGGCCTTTGTTAGTCTTGTATCATTTTTAATTTTAGTTTCCTGTGTATAATTTGGAGTTTAGTATGACGTCCATTATCACTGAACTAGTATACATATTTGTTTAGGGGCCAGCTGAAGGACGCCTTCGGGTGCGGGAGTTTCTCGCTGCATTGAAGACTCATTGGTGGCCTTCAGCTGTTGTATGCTCTATGTTCGGGTTGTTGTCTCTTTGACACGTTCCCCATTTCCATTCTCAATTCTATGGTCTCTCACTATACAAATTCATGTTCAATGAAATGTAAAATCAGGGTAAAAACTGTAATTTGCCAAATTGTTTTTATTAAAATTCACATCATAGTGATCATATGAACAAAGTTTCAAGCTGTTGAGACCAAAACTTCATGGTAATCAAGCTTAACCATTTGCTTAAACCTGAGAATGTACTGGTTTCACACTATCACAATTCCATGTTAGTAGCTGTGAAATGGGGACCAAAACCGTCATTTGAACTTAATTTTAAACAGACATCAAAATGACAAATGTGCTAAATTTCAAGCTGATGTGACCACAACTTCATTGTAAACTACTTTAATAAACCTAATACAGGACGGACTGAAAAACAGATGAAACCACAGACCAGAAAACATAAAGCCCCCTACTATTGTATAAAAACATCAAATTTCTTATAGTTGCATTTGATTTCTAGTTTAGTAAGCCTGTTCTGTAGGGTTAATAGTTTTCGGATTGACATTTTCCTCCTCAAAATATTTTATACTTTGGATTCATTTATTTTTAGAGGGTACCAAATTTCGTGGATTAACATGATTAAAGGGAAACTTCGCAAAAAAATGAAAAATTGATATTATGTTCATTCTGTATAAAAAAGCACAAATTCATAAATATTAAAGTTTTATTCTGCTATATAAGAGATCACCATCGATTTTAAATTTAGAGTATCAATTCTCTGCATGCGGCCATTTTGACATCTTCTCGGTTTAGAAACCACGATATATCTATAAACCACAAAGGACCAAAACCAGCAGTAACCTAACGTAGTCGTAATTGCGTGTCGATATCTTGTCAAGCGTACAGTTGTTTTATCCGACAAGAAAAGCATAAACAGTTTCCCGGGTAACAAAAATGATTATAATAGACATGGTTGTGCAACCTTTCCTAACTAACATGATACGGAAAATGTAATTATTTTTTTTTAAATAACTATGGTCTGTCGTATTTAAACTTGGTTTTTTTTACCAAGGATTTGTATTTGTTACTATACAAATCCTTGTTTTTACTAAGTTTTGAAACAAGAAATTTATATGGGAATTAGTTAAAAAGTCAAAGTCAAAGTCATAAATAAGTGTCCCGTGTATAATTGTTTTCGAAAATCTAATTTGTTCATAATTTTTTTATGTAATAAACTTTTATGTAATAAACCAAGTGTTGAAGACCGTACTTTGACCTATAATGGTTTACTTTTATAAATTGACAATTTGTGACTTGGATGGAGAGTTGTCTCATTAGCACTCATACCACATTTTCTTATATCTAATTATTTAAATAAATTCAGACCTTCCCTTATCTGATCACCAGCATGGCTACAGGAATTATTCCCAGAGGTATTGTGAGGTGACACGTCCAGGTATTCATGCGATTTCCTGTCAGACTTAAAAACTCTTATTACACAATTACATAAAGCAAGTTCATGCATCCCTTCATTTCTAAGGGTATTGATCAGTGTACACGGCCGATAACTTGTAACTTTCCATTTTGAAACTATCAGGTGTAATATACATCTTTGTCTTGCGTGTCCGATAGTGATATACTAGTCATTACTAAACACATACGCTTGTTTATAAATAACATTTCTGGTGTAAAGAATGATGTTTATGAAAATCTAAATAATTCCAAAAAAAGATTTGATAAAATTTTTCCAAGGGTAAATTGTGGAAATGTAAGTATATACTCGTTGTCAATAATGATGGACATTTTGAAACATACAAATATTGATTTAACAAAAATGTACGCACTAAGTCTTGTCGATCATTGGTTAATACGCCTAGATAGAAAGTTACGGAACTATAGATAGTCGCAATTAAAAATATATACATGTTTTTGAATATAACAGAGAAACATCCAGAACCAATTTGATTTAAATACAGGTTGATATCTTACTTGCTTTGGTTCATCGAAGTTATGGACATAGTAAAATCACAGATTTATATTTCATTTAGATTGTTCTCGAACAGTTAAAGAAATTCGTCATCACCACAATTGATGAGTATAATGTATAATGATGTGAACATGGTTCTAAAAGTACATTATGCTAACTTTCCTGTTCCGACATGCATGTAATATATATGCCACTTGACGTACACTAATGATCCCCAAAAAATGTATTTGAAGAAATAAAGAAACTTCACTCCGGATAGACTGATAGTATTTGTATTAACGTCTGATTAGCTAGATGGTTGATTAATTTATTTAGTTGGCTTGTGGGGGGAATAAACTATTCCCAAATATTGCACTTATGCATAAAATATTAAATGAGAGTAATATGAGAGAAAATATAAATACGAAAAGTCGCATATCTGGTAAAAAAAGTCTCACTGGCAACTATAGAATTTCACGTACAATTGTCATTCTTAATCGAAATAACGGACAGTCATTAAAATACATGCATGTACACTTTGACAAAAAGAGGTGCCGCAGTTGCATATTATTCATCATAAATCTATTTCAAGTATATACTTTCCTGTCATTCTTATAAGTTAACGCAGAGACATGTAACTATACATCTCTAGTTAACGGCAATCAACCATATAAATATTTGAATCTGATGTGACTTACCGTTCATCTCTTTCTTTTTTTTTCTTCTTTTTTTTTTTTTTTATTTGGGCAGGTACACAAACATTGTAATGTTAGATTTACTGTTCCCAGGTTGGGAGGGGGGCGGTGGTTGGAGGTAAAGTATATTGAAAGTTACAAAATAAGAACGTTGTATTTATGAATTTACATGAATAATTCTGATCTTGGACGTAGGTTTCTTTTTTTTTTAGTTCAGTGATTTAAATTGAAAGAAAAAAATCTAGTCAGAATTTAAATCGTACCGGCAATTTCCACCTAAGACTCCTCTAAAATCATGAATGGTCACGCTTCACAATCATCAGAATTTTCTTTGCATTGGTACATTCTGTATCGGTAGTGATTTACCTTGACATTTCCGGGTATAACATAGCTACTTGTATATTACCTGTATGTGGTTAGGTGACGTCCCATGAGGTCTTACGTATACAGGTTCACATTGGTTTCTGATAACAAGGTTTTATGACATTCACACATCTGCATGTTCTGTATACCAAATTCTTATCTTATTTTCAGACCAAACGAGGATGTGACTATTTTCCAGGAAAAATATGGAGTATCAAAGTATCAAATTAATTACGGGATTTTTTTCTTTCTTCGTATCAAATCACAGAAATTTAAAGAATATACTGCTTGTCCGCTTGAGGTGTATTCTTGTCAGTTAAGACTGACATATATGTATCTGGTATAGAGTGGGTTTATGAATGAATGATAAGTCTTTCAAAGGTACAAGATATAAAGCACATTGAAAATTGATTCCGCCGGTCTGTCTCCATTCAAAAAAGGAAAGTTGACGTTATATTGATTCTGACATTTTTTTTAAACATCGTTGGTCAAATAGCTAAAGTATGTATACGTTGTGAGATTTTAAATATTTTAATAAGGGCATTCCCGATTAGGTAAATGTAGATCGCTGTGGACGGACCAAGCTATATTAATCATGTAACCACGATAATTTTCGCTAAACATTGAAATATTCAAGCTTAATACCCATGATAATTTGAAAAAAGTAAGTACAGTGTTTGGTTTATACGCTCGTTTTCGTGGGCCATTTTTATTTATAAAATTATTTAATTGAAAGTAATACAGAATTTCGATGTTACAACAAAATACTCACCTATCTATTATAAAATTAAGCTTACGCAAAATATAAAAGATATATATAACGGCGATTCAGGTATTTTGCCACCATATTCCTCCCCAAATAATTAATGTTTTTATCATTCATACGAAATGTTGTTCAAACCTGTAACGGTGAACCGTGTTGGCTAAAATTCACTGAGTGAAGATCAAAAGAATAGAATTACAGAATGCTAATCTTTTAATTACCTTGAATTTAACCACGCATTCAACAGGTAGTCACTAAGTGTCACAGTACAATACACATTGTATTTACACAGTACTAGTGTGAAATGTTTGATAGACTGAAGTAAAAGCCTTCAGGTGAGAATACAAACATGCATTTGTAAAACAATATCAGTTATATATGTTTGTTCAAAATATCCGTCGGAAAAAAATTCATATAAAAATATATTCTATTGTATGATTTACTTTTATTACTATAATCATATCAGAAATCCTTTAAATATAAATCGTACATTTTAATTTTGAAAGTTGCACGGCTGATCACTTTACTTTCTCAATTATTAGTTGGTTAATAGCTACACCAAAAGTCGTCGGTGCGCTTTAAATCGCGTTATTAGATGATTAATGAACAAGACTTACAATGAGATTTATTCACTCCCGGCATGCAAAAAGACTTAAACTACGTCACATAAGTCAGGAAGTTCGAATAAATTAAATTATTAATTCCCAATTTTCTTCTTTATTAGTGTTCATATCCAGATAAAACTTGGTGAATATGTTTTTTATTGTATTATGAACATAATAAGATGAAAAGTAAAAAATCGCGAATTTTCCCTTTAAGGAAAACTGACATGTTCGTGGATATTTAATTTCGTGGTTTTGTGGAAGTCTGCATACAAGTCTATAGAAAATTTGTTATTTGTTGAACATTTAATTTCGTGGTTCACCTTTACACACGAAATCCACAAATATTGGTTTCCAATGAATAATAATGAATCCACAGTACATTGGTAAATTTAAGGCTTACCCCACATGCCAGAACATGACAGCACCATCAGAACCTCCAGACGCAAATAATCCTTCATGTATAGGATGCCAGTCTATTGCTGAAATAATACAAAAATATGCTCTATCTTAACAACTTCTTATAACAACTGGTATCTTTAATTTCAAAATGGAGTCGTCGTTCTGTTGTTGTTATTTGTTGCTGTATATCATCTTTGTTTTTCTTTTATTGTTTTTACATATATCAAACTGTTAGTTTTCTCATTTGAATTGTTTTACATTTGTCGGCATTGGTTTTGCTCATAGATGATGGACATACGGTGATCTTCAGTTCATTTAATACTTCTGTGTCATTTGGTCTCTGATGGAAAGTTGTCTCATTTGCTATCACACCACATCTTATTTTTATATTATTCAAATATGCTAACAAACCATTTTGAAATCATTATTATGAACAGCTCACTATTCTAAATAATAAATGGACAAATTTCAAAGTACTTACACTGTCATCAGGACCGTACTGATAAAGTTTAATTTTAGAATTATATAACACAAAAAGGGGGAAATATCAGGTCCCGATTTTAATTATTGTGCAGAATCTATTTGTTAACATCAAATATATGACTGATGCCTGAAAATATTCTAATAGTCTTATTTATCAAACAATGTTTCTTTTATTCTTGAAGTCTTATATAAATAAATATCGTACCAGTAGCTTCTTTTTTATGTCCTTTAAATGTCTGGACTTCCTCCTTCATGTTACGTATGTCAAACAGTTTAATGAGATGATCTCGTGACGCTGTCAGTAACCAGTTGCCATTCTTGTTCCACTGTAACTGCATTACTGTCATTTTATGAGCATGCCTAAAAACAATAAGAAAAATATTGGAAGTCTGGTTTCCACATCTCCTCGATACAGCCTATCTTGTGCTGATTTATGATGTAAAAAACATTATTCAATTAATCTGGTCCCCACAAATCAGGCCGTGGGTTTGAATTGTTTTATATTTTATCGTGACTTGGGGCCTGTCATAGCTTACTACAGGGTATGAGTTTTGTTCATTGTTGAGAGCTGTACAGTGACTTGAAGTTGCTTAAATTCACATCATTTGGTCTCTGGTCATGCCAGTCGATAATTGTCTCATTGTCAAACATAAAATTAGAGCTGTGCTATTCATTTCCATACTTTTATAGTCTAAATTGCATTTGATTTGACAAAATTATATGTATTGATATTTCCAGAAAATTATTTACCTTTTTCAATGAATGCTTTCCTGAAATGGACTATGTAGTAAGCCATGAAAGACCTCATGAAATGGATCATTGTCAAAGTTAAGCTTATCATGAAGTCATTACCGGTATTTACAATGTGGCTAGGCCCTGAATAATCTTTACCTTTAACTGGTGTCCATTTTTATCTCTAGGGTAAAATATTACTTTACATTGTGGCTAAACACTGTCTATAGTTCAGGCTTAATAGAAATCTTTACTTTAATTTATAAATAGCATTGTCCAGATTTGGCCCATCCTATAATGTTTACTTACAATGTAGCGAGGCAGGATCCAGTCTTAGCATCCCACAGTTTCAATGGCTGTTGATTATCTTTACTTCCAGAGGCTATCAGACTTTTCAGTGGATGCCAGCCTACACATTTCACATCAGCACCATGTCCTGGTTAATTTGAAAAAAGTTTTGGCTAATATTCATACCACAATATATGAGTATCTGTATTTTATGTATAACAATTCATTGACACACATGAAATCAGTTGGGGTTTGGGGGGTTCATCAGAAAACAAATACATGGGGAATGTGTCCATGGGACACAGATGATGCTCCCGCTTGCATATCATATAAAGTTATAATGGGACATAACTAAAGAACAGTAAAAGTGACACTACCCAAATGTGTACTTGATCTGAGTTTTGTGGTAATAAGTATAAGTTTCATAACATTTGGTTGAGGCAAACTTAAGTTAGAGAACGGAAACGAAAAATTCAGCAATTTTTCCATTTGTAAAGGGGCATAACTCTAGAACGGTTAAAGTGACACCATCAAAATTCAAACTTGTTCTGTGTATTTTGTGGTAATAAGCATTGTGTATAAGTTTCCTAGCATTTGGTTGAGGCAAACGAAAGTTAGAGAACAGAAAACAACTTCTGGACGTACAAACGTACGTACAGACGGACAAGGGTAAAACTTAATGCCCCCTCCACTATGGCAGTGATCTGGAAGGATTTTTTCTCTATGGGCCCAGGACCCCCCAAAAATAAATTCAATGGGCCATTTTTAGAATTAATGGGCCATGTTGTCAAATGAGTGGGCCATTCGTTTACAATAAAAAAAAATTAAAAAAAAGGGTATATTTCACTGTACTTACAAGTATGATTCTAATTAATATCATGAATATTGTTCCTGTGATTTTGTAATTTCAATTTCAATGAAAATACAATAACTTCTTCCAAACCGGGCAATATTTACGATAACCTTTATTTACAATGTTAAAACTGGTACTGTTCCCTTGTTCATGTTCATGGTTTTTTTTTACATTAAATTTGGGTCTACGTCGATACCATACTTATTCCAGACGTTCCGTATTAGAGGAAGTTTCTGGCATTTCCTCTGCACTTGTATTATTATTACTTCATCACGATGACAAGAATAACAGTAGAGAGCAACGTTAATTGATAAGACACAACAACAATTCGCAGAAGGCATGTTTACAAAATGTCAAAACGAGCCAAAGACCAAAAAAAAAAGACAAGGATAGTTAAGCCCCTTTTATGGAGACAAATAATATACTATTCATAAAAAGGCTTTTGGGTTTTTCAATCGAAATAATAGTAAGCTTACTTAAAAGATTATAATAAGAGAAGAATTCTCGCCTGTACTAGCCAATTTTCACAAATTTAAAGTTGTTTATAAAAAATTATATCATGAATGATGGTTAATTACGTTTTTGGGGTAATCAGTCATACCGAATGTTGCTATTATTACCATAGGAAAACACCCGAGACGTCCCAAAAATATATAGGTACTCCTATCATTGGAGTAAACACTACACAGTTGTGTACTCACACATGGCGGCACGAAATACTATTGGAAATCCATTTGACGATATCTCAACGTTTCAAAACGAAGTGAAAAATATCATGCGCCACGCGGGCGCTTACAATTGTCACTCTATGCGCCATTTCTGGTCGATAAGCGCAATTGGCGCAAGGCGCACGTCCTTCCCGATCACTGCTATGGCGGGGGCATAACAAAAAATACTATTAATCAACTAGAGCTTCAGATTTTTTGAGTTTGACTATTTAGGCTGCGAGTGTCATGACCACAAGTAACCCCTTCAAGAGTCATGCTGGTTACAGGCCTGATTGGTCCTTTGTTCGACATCCAGTGGAAAATATTTCAAACATATTCATACTGGGAGCCATATAATTAGGTTGCAAGAAGTGGGAGTACTGGGTTGTGTCTGGAAATTGCGACCCCCTACTTAAAAATGAGGGGTTGTTACTCAAAACGAAACTTGACCCTTCAATTAAACATTTAAAGACCACTTCAACTGAATGATTGCCAAGCCTAAACCACCATCTGGGAAATATTCATATTATGGACAGGGATCAATTTAAACAATGCATCATAAAGGCACTACTCTAATACAGAATTCCATGTGACAATATTTCTATGTCTTAGTCCACACTTTTGATGAATAGTTATTGCAAGGGTTATTTGACATACAGGTTTTCTCCAAAGAAACAGTGAAGGCATTTTAGCTATCCATTTATGTGATAAGACAAAAGAAATTACAATTTTTTTAAATAAATGTATATGCAATTCATTGAAAAGGTCACAAATTAGACTGTTAAGTATCAACCTAAACAAACAAACAAGTATACCCTCTCCTCCAGAAATGGCAGTCTTTGATCTGCTTTAGGGAAACCTCAATAATTATAATTGAGATCAGCAAATAAAATAGAGTCGCACAATGGCATTATATGGTTAAGATTCTTAAGACAGTTTCAATTAATTTTGATAATCATAAATGAGGGGTTTTAAGGAGGATTTGCATTTGTGAATACTGTAAATACAGAAATTATAGTGTGCATTTATAATTGGGATTTTTTAAGAATGGACAAAAATTGGAGATTAATTATTATGATTTCGGGAAAATCTCCATACAGATGTATGTTTCAGATATAAAAATGTTAGTTCATATTATTGTGATTCTCCCACAGTTGCATTATTCGCATTAATAAAAACCTCACAATAATTTCTGAATTTACAGTACAAATTTGGCTACTTGCCAGATAAAGCAATGGCAATTTCATGATTTTCTAAGGGGAACCACAAAAATAAATAAGCTAAATAAATGGGAAATGTGTCCATGGGACACAGATGATACCCCCACTTGCATATCATATAAAGTAATAAAGGGACATAACTGAAGAACAGTAAAAGTGACGCTACCCAAATTTGTACTTGATCAGAGTTTTGTGGTAGTAAGTATTGTGTATAAGTTTCATAACATTTGCTTGAGGCAAACTTAAGTTAGAGAACGGAAACGAAAAATTCAGCAATTTTTCCATTTGTAAAGGGGCATAACTCTAGAACAGTAAAAGTGACACCATCAAAATTCAAACTTGATCTGTATTTTGTGGTAATAAGCATTGTGTATAAGTTTCATAACATCGGGTTGAGGCTAACTTAAGTTAAAGAACGGAAACGAAAAATTCAGCAATTTTTCCATTTGTAAAGGGGCATAACTCTAGAACGGTTAAAGTGACACCACCAAAATTCGAACTTGATCAGTATTTTGTGGTAATAAGCATTGTATATAAGTTTCATAACATTTGGTTAAGGTAAACTAAAGTTAGAGAACGGAAACGAAAAATTCAGCAATTTTTCCATTTGTAAAGGGGCATAACTCTAGAACAGTAAAAGTGACACCACCAAAATTCAAACTTGATCTGTATTTTGTGATAATAAGCATTGTGTATAAGTTTCATAACATCGGGTTGAGGCTAACTTAAGTTAAAGAACGGAAACGAAAAATTCAGCAATTTTTCCATTTGTAAAGGGGCATAACTCTAGAAAGGTTAAAGTGACACCACCAAAATTCAAACTTGATCTGTATTTTGTGGTAATAAGCATTGTATATAAGTTTCATAACATTGGGTTAAGGCAAACTAAAGTTAGAGAACGGAAATGAAAAATTCAGCAATTTTTCCATTTGTAAAGGTGCATTACTCTAGAACGGTTAAAGTGACATCACCAAAATTCGAACTTGATCTGTATTTTGTGGTAATAAGCATTGTGTAGAAGTTTCATAACATTTGGTTAAAGGCAAACTAAAGTAAGAGAACAGAAATGAAAAATTCAGCAATTTTTCCATTTGTAAAGGGGCATAACTCTAGAACGGTTAAAGTGACGCCACCAACATTCAATCTTGATCTGTGTTTTGTGGTGATAAGCATCGTGTATAAGTTTCATAACATTTGGTTGAGGCAAACTAAAGTTAGAGAACGGAAACCAACTTTGGGACGTACGATAATACAGACGTACAGACCGACAAGGATAAAACTTTATGTCACCTCTGCTACGCGGGGGCATAAAAAACAAAACAGGAGGCACACAGAAGCATTATATAGTGAAAATTCTATGAAACTAAGAAAAGAAGTTGATACAAATGTGTACTGTTGTGTGCAGATACGATAAAGTCCATGAATATCATATCAACTTTTTTGTAAATTGTACCCACTTCTATTCTTATGGTCAGTGAGTTTCTATGAAGTGCTTCACTGTATAATGCCATTGTGCATTTCAAGTACTTATTTTGTATCTGCAAATCCTCCTAAGTCCCTTGTTAGAATATAATGAAACTTACTTAGAATCTAAACCATAAAATACCATGCATTGTAATTTGCCCCTACTATTCTGTATGATGATTCCCATTATTTTTAATTTGCCCTTGCTTTAAATAAAAGGAGTTATTAATTTGCGAGTTAAGCATGCAGGACCTTGAATTGTAGCACTAGTGTCAAACATCATGATCTTGTATTGCTGGTCATTTTGCCATTTACTTTTTCTGATGATCTATTTTAGTACTGAAAAAAATGAAAATGGCTACAAATCATCGAAGGGCCACAAGTCCTTTAAGTAGCCAACTGACCTTTACAACTGCATTGAATTATATGCAGATCTTGTAATGTTGATCATTTTTCCAGTTTTTAAGTTTATACCCGTATGCAAAAATACTAGCATTCTTCAAGAATCATTATTATAGGGCAAAAACTTCAATAAGCAGTGAATTAATGATTTTGGTCAAGTGACCTTATTGTATTGTATTGCTGATCATTTTTGCCCTTTGCTTTGTCTGTCTATCTTTTATATTTTTCCAATTGCCAAAAAACGAAAAAAAATGGTAAAATTCATCATTTAATAAACTGCTTCGCCAAGCGCAGCTGGATACGACCGCAGAGGTCCAACCCTGAACAGTTGGGGAAAAATGGACACAATATTCAAGCTTGATACAGGTCTGAATTTGGATTGTAATTAACACATTATAGGTTTTTGACACAGAATAAATGTAGTCAAAGAACTTGAAATTGGTTATATGATTTGAATTTATATTCAATTGAAGATTTCTTGCTGTTGTGCAATACACTGTGC